GGGGAGGGGGGTGGAGGGATGGGTTAGCCTGGTGATGGGTATTAAAGAGGGCACGTTCTGCGTGGAGCACTGGGTGTTATGCACAAACAATGAATCATGGAACACTACATCCAAAACTAATGATGTAATGTATGGTGATTAATATAACAATAAAAAATTATTAAAAAAAAAGAACTTGGTGCTGAGTGAAGAAAGTAAAACCAGAATGAGATGGATGGCCCGAAACCATCCAAAAATTTTGGTTTTATTTTATTTTATTTTTTATTTTTATTTTAAAAATTTATTTTGATTTTTTATTATGTTCAGTTAGCCACTGTATAGTACATCATTAGTTTTTTTTTTAAAAAGATTTTATTTATTTATTTGACAGAGAGAGAGAGACAGCAAGAGAGGGAATACAAGCAGGGGGAGTGGGAGAGGGAGAAGGAGGCCTCCCGCTGAGCAGGGAGCCTGATGTGGGGGCTCAATCCCAGGACCCCGGAATCATGACCTGAGCCGAAGGCAGACGCTTAACGATTGAGCCACCCAGGTGCCTCTGAAACCCTCAATTTGTTTCCTGTGGTCCATAGTGTCTCATGGTTTGTCTCCCTCTCTGATTTCTCCCCCTTCAGATTTCCCTCCCTTCCCCTATGGCCCTCCATGCTATTGCTTATGTTCCACATATGAGTGAAACCATATGATATTTGTCTTTCTCTTCTTGACTTACTTCACTTAGCATAATCCCCGCTAGTTCCATCCATGTCGATGCAAATGGTGGGTATTCATCCTTCCTGATGGCTGAATAATATACCATTGTATGTATGAATCACATCTTTATCCATTCATCTGTTGAAAGACATCTCGGCTAAACATATGCATACAAAGCAAGCAGATGTACCTTATAATCACAGGGATGCAGGGATGTCCACTGAAGGATTGTTTTTGAGGTGTGTGAACAGGTGATGGAATTGAAAGCACCAAATAAAGAAATGACAAGTTTTGTTGGGGGGGGGGTTTCCTGGACCAATGAACTCAACTCACAGGACCTGAGGGAACCTCCAAAGACAAAACAAAACAGAGCAAAATGGAAGACAGAAAACCCGAGATAGCATGTTGGGGCAGGGTTAGGAGAGAATGACATTAACACAGGTGCAGCGGTGGCTGAGGCAGGGGTCAAGTCTGCCAGTGCCAGGGTTGGGAAGGAAGGGTTTATCTGTATCTTGAAGGAAGCTGAGAGGGTGCAGGTGCCCGGACAGGTGGATGGGAGGTTGGGTGGGCATCGAGAGATCACCGTGTGCACCATTTTGCTGGCCCAAGGGAGCACCTGCTGTTTGGGCATTGGAAGTCGTTTGCAATGGCTGGGGCACAGAGTGTGAGCTGTGGAGGACTGGGAGAGGCTGGAAGCCAGCCAGGAGCCGGGTCTGGTATATCACACCAGGGTCTGGACTTGACTATAGCTAAAGGGGAGATGGAGAAAGTTTGAAAGCAGGGAAGCCACTGAATCAGATTTCAAAGCTTCCTCCTTTTCTTTCAAAAGCACCAGCAACGTCTGCATTCTTCACACACTGACATCCAGATTTGACACCCATTCAAGGACATCATGCCTCCGCTTCAAACACTCTATTTCTACAGTAGTTGCTTATTAGTGCTTGCATGGGGTCCTTTCTGGAGTTGGACAGGCCCCCAGAAAAATTCTCTCCTCAATCATTAAGGTTTTGACTCACATTGTTCTTCGTCTCCATTGTTTTATGCAGAGTCCTCTTATTTTTTCAGTTTTCAAAATGCATTTGTCATTTAATTGTTTTATTTCTTAGAACTCTATCATGAGCACCTCTCAAGAGCTGTGTGGATTTTTTTTTTTTAATAAAGGAAATGTTAGTAGAAGCAATTATGGGCGAGCTCGTGCTTGTTATTGCTTCATCCTACCTTTCCTCAGCATTACCTGTATGGGCAGGTGTCTCATCTTTTTTTCTTCTAATTTTGGAGGTAAGCTTTCTGACTTTTTGCCTACATATGGGTCGCTCATTGCTGAGAGTGGGGGAGAGGTTCAGACACCTGTCTCTGGGATGCAGCTCTCTTGTGTGGTGCCATCTCCCCTACCCTGGTCCCTTCACTTCCCACTGCTGATGTTCTGAAAAGCCTGGTCTTCCCCGGGCCCATGTGCTATGCTCTGGTTGAAGAATAAAGACACAGAATGGGGTGGGGGGCAGAGGAGAGCACCATTCTGAGACCCATCTCCCATGCCTACCTCTCCCTTCCCACCCACCAGCCAGCCTCCTGCCTCTCTGTGCTCATCTTAAGAAAAAAAACAAAAAGCTTTATTGAGATATAGTTCACATATCATGCAACTCACCCATTTAAACTGTGCAATTCAGTGGCTTTTGGCGTACTCACAGATATGTGCGGCCATCACCACACCCCATCTTAGAGCATCTTCATCATCTTCAAGAGGAAACCCCATACTTTCTAGCTATCATCTCTTCCTGCATCTCCCCAAGTCTAAAGCAACCACTACACGACTCTGTACCTATAGGTTTCCTTATTCTGGACTTTGTAATGAATGGAATCACATACTATGAGGTCTTCAGTGACTGGCTTCCTTCACTTTGCATAACATTTTCAGATTCACCTTGTAGCAGGTCTCATTCCTTTTAATGGCTGAATAATATTTCGTTGTAAGGTTAGATCTTTTAATTTTTTATTGTTATGTTAATCACCATATATTACATAATTTGTTTTGGTGTAGTGCTCCATGATTCATTGTTTGTTCATAACACCCAGTGCTCCATGCAGAATGTGCCCTCTTTAATACCCATCACCAGGCTAACCCATCCCTCTACCCTCCTCCCCTCTAGAAACCTCAGTTTGTTTTTCAGAGTCCATCATCTCTCCTGGTTCGTCTCCCCCTCTGACTTACTCCCCTTCATTCTTCCTCTACTGCTATCTTCTTCTTTTTTTTTTTTCGTTGTAAGGTTAGATCACATTTTGTTTATCCATTCATCTGTTGATGGACATTTGGGTTGTTTCTACCTTTTGGCTATTCTGAATAATGTTACTAGAAACCTTTGTGTACCAGTTTTTGCATGGACATATGTTTTCATTTCTCTTGGGTGTACACCTACGAATGAAATCGCTGGGTCATATGGTAACTCTATATGGAATCCTTTGAGGAATTTGTAGACTGTTTTCCACAAAGTGGTTGCACCATTTTTCTTTCCCATGAATGGGTATATGGATGTTCTGAAATTTTTTTTAAGATTTATTTATTTATTTATTTATTTAACAGAGGGAGACAAAGTGAGAGGAGGAACACAAGCAGGGGGAGTGGAAGAGGGAGAAGCAGGCTTCCTGCCAAGCAGGGAGCCGGATACGGGGCTCAATCCCAGAACCCCCCTGGGATCATGACCTGAGCTGAAGGCACTTAACGACTGAGCCACCCAGGTGCCCCTGGGTGTTCTGACTTCTTGACATCCTTGCTAAGACTTACTATCTGACTTTTTGATGGTAGCCATCCTAGTGGGTGTAAAGTAGTGTATCACCATGGTTTTGATTTGCATTCCTTGATGGCTGCATTTCCCTAATGTTGTCTGTGCTCATCTTGGCACTGCCCCAGCTTCTATCTCCTTTCTAGTGTAGTGGAGCAGACAGTGATAAGATGAGCCTTGTCTCCTAGGAGCTAAGCCTCTTCCCCCAAATGTATGTGTTCCAGGGGCTTCTGACAGTTGCTGATGGGGGTGTGCAGGCCAGAGCCCTATGGGCCTCCTGCTGCCCCAAGCAAAATGGCTCTGGGCATTGAGTTGACACCAGAGAGTGGTTCCCATGTCGTATAAGCCATGCTGTGGATTGTGCAGCCTGTGGCCTCTGGCATTGGTAAGATTTTGGGGCGATGGAGGTGGGAAAGAGGCTGTGCTTCCTTTGGGAAGGTGATCTCTTGACTTCTTACCTGCTAAGCTCTTTGTCAGTTTCCTACTTCCTCTACTGGCTTTCCCCCCAAATCCTTAGGGCTAACAAACTTGCCTGGGATATGTGGACTTGATTTGATGATGTCTGGTTTCAGGACGTCTCTCTGCCTCTGTCTTCTTATCTATAAAATGGGGATAATGGTACCTGCCTTACAGCTTTGTTGTGAACTTAAATAATTTGGGCAAAGCTGATACCTGTGTCTTCGAGAAGAATATGTTTCTGATGTGTAAGTTGAATTGGAGGGAATGTATAGCTGGTTGACAGACCAGATGAGAAGCTAGTCCTGGTCCAGGACTATTCTAAAGATAGTTAACATTTACTGAGCTGTTACTCTGTTCCAGGCCCTGTGCCAAGTGCTTTACGTTTGTTCACCCCTTTATTTCCTATGAGGTAAGAATGGTTACTATTACTCTATTTTACAGATGAAGAAGCTGGGGATGAGAGTGATTTAGCAACATGCCCAAGGGCACATGGTTAGTACATGATGGAGATGGGATTTGAATCTGCATGACTCCAGAATCTATGCCCTTCACCACACCCTCATATTGAATTAGATTAATAGCATACAAGCGGGTAGAGCTTCCCCACAGGAGGTCAGAAAGTTGGGTCCAGAGCCCAGAAGAGAGACTAGGTTAGAGGAAGAGATATGAGGTCAACCACATGGAGGTAGTGGTTGAGAGAGTTATGGGGAGTCCTCACCCCAGATATTTAAGTGGGGTGTTTTATGACCCAAAAGTATGCAGCCAGAGAGAAGGGACAGCTCGTTAGGTCAAGCAAGCAGCCTCAGACAGGAAGAAAAATGAGAGATGGGGACAAAGGCTGTCCTCTGTTGGAGGTTTTATATTTTGGGACTGACTTTCATGAAGCCTTGGGGTATGATCCAAATATTATATTGCCATTAAATGAAGAAAAGATCAGCAGATTTCTCTTGTTGTTCTTAGGCCATTCTCTGAAGTATCTCTTGCCACTCTTCCCCTTTTCCTAAGTAGAGCTTCACATTAGGAAGTGGCTAGGAGATGAAAAAGGAAGTAGGTGAGAGGCAGAAACACAAAGGAAACTTGATCAAGTAGCAAGTGGACACCGCAGGCTTTGTCACAAGCATCTGGATTTGCTGGGGCACCAGACAGAGAGACAAGACCATGTGGCTGTCCCCAGTTCTGCTCCTTCTCTGCCTCTCAGGTGAGTGGGGCTGGGGCTTTGGGCACTTGGTATTGGAATAGTGGGTAGAAGGTCTGTCCTGGGTTCAAGCCAGAGGAGAAGTCTCAGCAGAAACAGGAAGGACACGTCCATTCATCCATCTGTATATCCTTCTATCCCCTCAGACATTCATCTACAAATCCTACATACACTTACTGAGCACCAGCTGTGTGCCAGGACCAGCTGTGTGCCAGGAGAGCAACTTCTGCACACAGAGACTCATGGTTGAATGAGGGAGCCAAGTCACTGTGACACAGCGTAGAACTTTCTGTAGAAGAGATTTGTTCATGTGGTATGGAGGTGCATGACAGAGGTCCCAAACACTTCTCTTGACGCAATGCAAGTCCTCACCGAGGCTTCACTGGACTTTGGTCTTGATGGATGAATGAGTTGGCTGAGTGGAAAGTGTGAATAGCTTATGCAAAAGTGTGGATCTCTTTAAAGATCATGGAAAGTTCAGGAATTAGCAATAGTTCCGTTTTGTCAGAGCTTAGTTTAAAGGGGTTGGAAAGGTTTCTTAGAAGGAATTAAAGAAGGGTCTAAAAAAGCATCCTCAGTATCCACCTTAAACCCCCGCTAGAACAAGGTGTGGTGTAGTCAGGTAAATAAAATTGTCCATTGAAGGTTGGAGTTTAGGAAGAGAAAGTCTTTTTTTTTAAATTTTTTATTGTTATGTTAATCACCATACATTACACCATTAGTTTTTGATGTAGTGTTCCATGATTCATTGTTTGTGCATAACACCCAGTGCTCCACACAGAATGTGCCCTTTTTAATACCCATCACCAGGCTAAACCATCCCCCCGCCCCCCTCCCCTCTAGAATCCTCAGTTTGTTTTTCAGGGTCTATCGTCTCTCGTGGTTCATCTCCCCCTCCGACTTACTAGGAAGAGAAAGTCTTAAAAAAATAAAAGACATTCAACATGCATGAGAGCCCATTCTCTGTGGGAAGTAAGTTCAGGGTAAAAATTAGAGGGTATTCTTCATGTTTGTAGAATAATTTTTATGTTGGGTGAGACATAGAACCTGCCCAACATAATGATGGACTGTTCCAGAATAGTGGGTGGAAAGGCAGAGATTTAAAGAAAGAAGACCAGTTGGGTGACACTGGCCAAAACGTAATTTTTTTCTCAGTAACACAAGAGAGTGGATGGGATGATCTTCAAGTTCCCCCAGGGCCCTCATAACTGAGATCTTAGACTCAGAAGACATTTAAAAGAGATGTATCTCATTACACATGGGAGGTGCTCAAAATGTCTTAAATGAGGATGACGATGATAATGGATATTTTCTTTTTTTTGATAATGGACTTTTTCCTGAATCACCATAATTTAGGAAATGGGCACCCAAAGCAGTAGTGGCTAAAGCTGGCTTGCACCCGCTCACAAGAGCTGATTATGGTCTTATTTTCCCAACCCTACATCCAGTGACAGCATGTTGTTAGCCTGAAATTAGTTATAGTGAGAGTATTTACACCACAGAAACCAGGAAACACTACGAACCATGACTTCTCCTTGCACCTCGCCTTGCTCCCTGCCCAGAGCTGGTTTACCAGCATATCACTGCTACCTCAACATCTGCTTGCTTAACTCTGATAAAATTGCCTAAATGCCCTAGCTTGGGTGCAATTAAACTGGAGATGGAAACTTCTTCCTACCCCTTCACGTGCACTGACTGATCTCTCCAACCCCACAGGTTCAGCTTTCCATCCATTTACAGCTAGAGTTCCTCCTGGGTCCAGATGAAAGCTTTGGAGTCACTTGTAAAGACTGAAATTTTGGTTCTTCTTCTTCTTTTTTTTTTTTTCCATCCCAGCTTCTGGCTTAGCTCCTTCCTCTCTGTTCCAGCATTCTCCCACCCACCATACCCATTGGAATTACAAACACCATTTGGAAAAATGTCACCACTTTACATATATGGAGAGTTGTATGGCTAGCCTGAGAAGGGAAGGGGGAAAGGTGGTAAAGAAAGATGGCAAGACCCTGGGGATGGTGATGGGGTTGCGGGTGGTCATTTTGTGCCCCAAACCTGTGTCAAGGAGCCTGTGAGGGTCTCCTTGGGACCCAGCCCTTCCTAACAGTGTATTGTTCCTCCCTCGAGAGTAGTCTGGATGAGGGCCAGGGGTTTACTTTTCCTCTCTTGAGAACACCCAGAGAGTGGAGTAAACAAGAAGTTGTGCTCCTACAGAAAAAGTTTGAGTTGCAGAAAACCTGCATGCAGAGCCTCACTCCAAAGTGAAGTGTTTTTATACGTCACTGAATCTCATGCCTGCAAAGGCTAAAGACAGGGCAGGACAGCTAGCTCACTCTGCTCCTCCAGCTTTGTTCTGATTCTCCCTGTCCCCAAAGGGCAGGATCTTTGTGTGGTTACTCAGTGTTTCTGGGCTCACAGGGCACAGGTCTCTACCTCTCTTGTTGGCCATAGTCTCCAGACCATCTGGCTTAGGTTCTAAGCTCAGATGTCCCTCCAGGCCCCCATCCCTGAGCCCGGAACCGTCCACACCTCCCTGGCAATTTTCCCCTTGGTCTTCAGGCAGACAGCTGCTGTAGGGGCTATTGGGATGGAGTCCTGGGATGTGGCTTGTATTTTCCAGGCTCTTTGTCCCTGATGGGCCCCAGCTCTGTGACGGGCACCTTGGGTGGCTCTCTGAGTGTGCCGTGTCAGTACAAGGAGGGATACCAGAGGCATAACAAATACTGGTGCCGAGGAGAGTACAGCATAACATGTGAGAAGATTGTGGAGACCAAGGGAGAAGAGAAAGAAGAGAGGAGTGGGTGTGTGTCTATCAGAGACCATGCTGATAACTTCACCTTTATAGTGACCATGGAGAACCTTACTACAGACTATGCTGGATCCTACTGGTGTAGAATTCAGAGAATATGGTTACCTGACCCTTTAGTCCAGGTTAACGTGTCTGTTTCTGCAGGTAAGAAATTCTCTCACTCCAGCAGCGAAGCTGATGGGTCTTGTCTCTGGGTCTTGTCTAGTCCTCTGTCCCAGTGGTGTTGGGAAGAGCCTATGATGAGGGCAGGGTGAGAGGCAGCTGACTTCTCAGCCTTGGCATGGATGGGGGTGTGTAGCTGAAGGTACCCTCACTCTCACAGGGCCTGGGCCTCACTCCATTGCCCGGGAGGCCCCTCCATGCTGGACCAAAACTATTTCCACCATGCCCTTTGGAAACCTGTACCAAAGAAAATAAACTCTTCATACATACATCTTCAGCTTCCTCACAGAATATTCTCTCCACTATACTGTCCTGAAATTGGCTTCATTCCTCTCATTTCAAAAAATAGTCTTCTTGAGTGGAAGCTGCTCTTTCTTCTACCCCCATGTGCTATAGGATCATGAAGCTATGTCCAAATTCTCCCAGCTCCCATCACAACTTCCAACCTATTATTGTCCCATCTGCTTCCTTTAACATTTGTGTCACATGGCCACATGCATCCCCTTCTTCTCCTTGGCAAGGCCTTCCATTGGCTTCTAGGTTACTCCCTGACACCCCTAATCCCTGTCATCGTCTCGGGAGTTTTTAATGAGTAACTGTCTCAGCTTCCAGGACCTTCTCAACTGCAGTGGCCTGCACTTCCACTCTCCAGAATCCCACTCCATGGCAACATTGCACATCTTGCTGTCACCCCAAAGTGGTCCATGTCCAGAACCCTACCCTCAGGCATTGTCCTTTCAGACAATTTTCTGTGCATCAGCCTTCCCACACCCTCACCCCTGCTGGCCCTGTTCTCAATCTCACATATGCCTCCAGTCCTTGGATCCCTCTCTCCATTCTCTCCCCATTTATTGCCTACCCCTCCCTTGCCCTGATCTCACTTCCTTCCTAAGCCAGGCCCAACTCTCATGGAAGACTATGTTTTCTTCACTTACCATGCACCATTTCCCTACCCAGCTCTCAAAACCCTCATCCCTGGATCCATCTTAAAATTAGAGTGAGCAATCATTGGGGTTTGTGTAGGACTGAGAAGTTTCTTGGGATGTGGGGCTTTCCATGCTAAAACTGGATAACATCCCAGGCAAGCTAGGGCGAATTGGTCTCCTACCTAAAATCTCTCTGCTGCAGTAGTGCTGGAGAAGTCACAGACGGCGCCTATGGGTGTCAGTACAAGTTCATGGTTTCTAATATGACTCTACCATTCTTCTATCTTACCAAGGGCACATGGGATATCAGACGTGAAATCTCTCAATTTCTTTTCTTCTCCCCCTACAAACTTCTGCAATGCCTAACTCATTCTTCCCCCTTTCCCTTCTAGGTTGAGGGTGGTTTCCCTCCACTTGTTCAAGAACAATCATCTTGAGGCTGGCTCCTCACCCTGGAGCTCCTTGCCTTCCCATCCCCTTGAACCAAATTCCCTTCTTGCTCATCTGTATCTTCCTCCATCAATTATCCACACTCTCTCTTCACCCCAGTCTAGAAAAATGCTGGGTTCTCTCATGTCCTCCCTGTGGCCTCCTCTAGGTGTCACCATTCCTCATTTCTCACCTTCTTGCCTGGATGGTAGCTGAGGTCTGCGTCCTCTGTGCTCTTGCTGTATCTGATGGGAGTTCTGCCCCTGTGTCCACTCTCTACTGACGTGAATCCATCTACTTAGACGCCTCTGCCCTGTGTGAGGGCAGGGATGGTGCCACATCCATCAATGAATCCCCAGTGGCAAAGACATCAAGGACCATGGTCAGATTAAACAGCCTGTCCTGGGAGCACTGGGAGGGCTAAGCCTCTGGGAGGCTTGCTTTTTTTGGGGGCAGTCATGAGGTTGGGGCAGAGACACAGGTTACACCAATAGCCTGGACACCCGAGGTTTAGCTCCTGCGCAGCAGGGAGTTAAAGTGGCCTTAGTTTCCATCTGAAGGGTGCTGTGAGCCCCCTCCCACAGTCTCTTTCAGGCTTCTGGGCTACAGGTGAAGTCATCTTTTCCAGACTTGCCCCTGTTCCTCTTCCCTCTGGGGCTCCTCCTCGGCTGGAGAAGCCTGTGAGAGACCCCTGCTCTCACCCTAGGCAGAGTCAGACTTGGGATGGAAAGAAAGATCTGGCACTTATTAGAGGTGGCTCGTATGGCCAGTTATGGAAGCGTCTCATTTGGTCCCTGAGAGGCTCACTCCATCCTGGAAGTGAACTGGGACTAGCTTCAGAGCATCTCTCAAGTCCCTTCTGCAAGTGGGCAATCGTGTGTAACGTTGGGTCCAACTGGGCACTTAGTGCATGGCTGGGGAGAGAGCAAGCGCCTGATATGTGATTTGTCTCCAGCACCAAATAAAACAACAGAGAGGACCACATGTCAAGCTGTACCTGCTGCCTTTCTGGGGCTGAACGGCAAGCAGAACCCCAGCACCGAGGAGGTGTTGACCTACTGCTCAGGGTAAGGGCCCACAGCCTAGAGCCCACAGAAGAGGGGGTTTGGCAGCCTTATGGGACCTTGTGGTGGGGGCTGGCAACACACCATGACCTTTTTACCTCACTGTTGGGTTTTCTTCTTGTTCTGGTCCTGATTTTTACATTCTCCATGGCTGCATGGGGATTCCACGTGGAAAGTATCACTTGTTTTGGGAATGCTTTCCCACATGGGGCAGCTGCAGGGGAACAGGAGGCTGGTTCAGGTGAACATGCAGCTCCTCCCATGCCCATCCCTCCCCCTCCCCTTCCCCACCTGGTTCTGGACTCTGGCTTCTGATTCTGTGGCCCTAACTTGGGCTTACCTACAAAGGTCTTTGCTGTACCAGAGATCCCGGAGCTCGTTGTGGGGTACAGAGAAAGATGGGCTGTCTCCAGGCTGTTTTCCTCCTCCCAAGATCCCCAGAAAGGGCTGCCATGTTGTCGTCTGGCCCTGCAGGGCCGAGGATAAGGGTCAGGGCTTTAAAGTGAGAGTGAGGGTGGCTTTCAAGAAGTCAGTTGATAAGGAGAAATGTGAGAGGAAAAAGACAGAGAGGAAGCTTCTGGAAAGCAGGCACTGCTGGGCCCCTCTTCTCTTTGCCCCATCACCTCTCCTTAACAGGATTCCCGGGGGCAGTTCATGGTCAAGGGAGGGGAGGTGATGGGGTCCCAGAGAGGGGCTGCCCGGGCAAGTGTCCTTTCCAGGTTTGATCCTGAGATATGAGGGCTCTAGAGTCAGGGCACAGGGACTGGTTGGGAGACAAGGGTCCCGGGCTTCCCCCTGAGGAGCCAGTCATTTCCTGTCTCTATGTTCCCCCACAGGTCCTTGCTCAGCAGTGTCCACTTCTGGCTCCTGATCTTCCTGAAGCTTCCCCTGTTCTTGACATTGGTGGGTGCTCTCCTCTGGGTGAAGAGGCCTCAGACGAGCTGTGGAGGAAATAAGCCTAATGAGGATAATCCACAATGTAGTACACTGTCCCCAGGAATGCCCTGTCCAAGAATGTAGCCCTTCAGACTGGACAAGAGAGACCTTCAGACTCTGGACTCCAGGGCAGGGGGGCAGCAGTGCCTGGATTCTGGAGGGACCCAGGTCTTTTTGAGGGTATTGTTCCAGTGCCTGGAGGGAGAATCTTGGGTCTTAGAGGACACTTGCTCTGAGTCCTCAGGTGCAGGAAGGATGAGTCTCCTGGGTTCATGCTCTGGGTCCTCCTTTCTCTGCCACAGATCCTTTAGCTCCTTGCCCTCATGCCTACCTCCCAAGCGCAAGAATTCTCTGGAAGTTGCTGGGAAGCCTGGCCCTTTATGCTTCTCCTTTCCACAAAAGCTTCTCAGTTCAGTGTTCCCCAGGGCAATAACCACCTCTTTCCAGCAGCCAGGAGGCTCCGTGAGGACTTGCCCCTCACAACCTCCATCCTTGGGCTCAGAGGGCTTCAACCTCACTTGTGTCCCTGAGACCAGGGAGTGTATGGCTGGGCTCAGCATCTCTCTGCCTGGGCCAGCTATGACTGAGAAACCTCAGGTTAAAGCTCTGGCGCTGATTGGAGCAGTAGTGGGATGATGTAGTAGGTGCACCGAACATCACTCCTGGAATTCCCCAACTGGGAGGGCCTCCTGTGCACAGAGCTGATGGATGGTCCACTTCAGTAGAAGTCTGGCTGAAGACACATGTCAACAGCTGGCCCTTTCCACAGGACAAGCAGACATAGTTTTCCAAAGAAGGGCACAGGACCCAGAGGTGAAGAAATACTTCCCCATTGGGATGGCATGATGCCACAGGCACCACGGGACATACCAGCCCCAGAAAGGACTCAGTTGGTTTCAAATGCTTGTCAATGGCTCCCTTCCGGAAGTGCGCAGGGCCGTACAGAGTCTGTCACAAGCACGCGTCCCCGGCTCCACTCAGCTCCTTGTGTCTAGACCAGCCCTCTCATCTCTGCCACGCGAAGCCTTCCCTGAGCTCATGATGCCAGTTTCTAGAAAACGCTCAGCTCCTGAACGCTGTGTTTGCTGGCCGGGCGGCCACGCTCAGAACCCAAGTCCCAGCATGGCTTCTGCTAGGGCAGGGCCCCTCGTGGTCCCTTGAGGAGAACTGGCACTGGCCCAGGACTCTGCAGAAGGAGAAATTTAACCAAAGAGGCACATATGGACCGTATGATAAAACACACATAGGGCGATGTAGGAAACAAAATGCTGGGCAAGAGAGAAGCTTATGATGTACTTTATTCTTTCTCAAACTTAATTTTAAGTATTCTAGTTTCTTTACCTTTCCATGTAAATTTTAAACTTTTTATTTATTTATTTATTCATGAGAGACAGAGAGAGAGAGAGAGAGAGAAAGGCAGCGGGAGAAGCAGGCTCCCAAGGAGCAGGGAGCCCGATGCGGGACTCGATCCCAGGACCCTGGGATCATGACCTGAGCCGAAGGCAGACGCTTAACCATCTGAGCCACCCAGGCACCCTCCATGTAAATTTTAGAGTGAGTTTGTCTTTATCTACCAAAACAGCCTTGCTGGGATTTTGATAGGAATCATTTTAAACTTATAGATCGTATTGGGGTAATTGACATCTTTCCGGTATTGATAATGTGGTACCTCTCACAATTTATTTAAATATTCCCTGGCTTCGGTCACCCAAGTTTTGTAAATTTTAGTATATGGATGCTGCACATGTTCTGTTAGATTTATACCAGGTGTTTCTTCTTCTTGTCCAGCAGCTGTGAATAGCACTGTTTCAATTCAGTTTCTACATGCTCGTTGCTAGTATAGAAATAGCACTGTGTGTGTGTGTGTGTGTGTGTGTGTGTGTACGTGTATATGTGTATGTTTATGTGTGTATGTATGTGTATATGTGTATTGATCTTTTATCCTGTGACTTGTTAAACTCATTTTTTAGTTCTGGCAGTTGGGTTTTTTTTTGTTGTTGTTGTTTTGTTTTGTTTTGGTTTTTTTTGTAGGTTCCCTGAGATTTTCTACACAATTATGTCATCTGCACAGAGGGACAATTTTATTTCTTCCTTTCTAATCCGTGTGCTTTAATGGTATCCTGGAAGCCCTAGGAAGCTGCAGGAAGGTCTTAAACACTCTCCATGCAGGACCCGCTGTTTCCTGGCATTTCTGCTTTTAAAAGAGAAACCAGAAGTGAAATTGCTCATATTTACATGTAGGCAACAAACTCCATTTAAAAAATATTGTGACCTGAACAAAACATTCATAAGTTCATGCAATTATGGATGCAGTCTGTGATCTGTGAGTAAAGCAGAGAAATTGCAGAACATCGTTGTGTCTGCCTAGTATTTACACCTGGGGCCATATGGTGCCCTGCAGGCTTGGGAACTGACCTTTGAAGTACACAGATGCACTTGCAGGGACGCCGTGTGGGCCAGCCCCAGGCTGGCTCCGGGGCAGATCCAAGTCTGTTCCCTGGCCTTATGACGGGCCAGGGGGCTCAGCCCTTCCGGGCTCCTCATTCTTTAATGTGATGTGAAGACACTAGATTAATATTATTCCATGTGGCAGTTAAAAAACAGGACTGCAAATTTCTTGACACTCCTTTTATTAAGAGTTGGGATTATGTCCCCTCCCCTTGAGTCTGGGTGGGCTGTGGCCACTGCAGCCAGTAGCCCAGAGCAGAGCTTCCCAAATGTTATTCCATAATTATCCTCCTAAGGAGACTGTTTACTCTTCCTAGAAGTGCACCCCCGCCCCTCCGCACTATGACATTTTAATGCCAAAGATATACTGTATATGTCCATGTTCTATTGATCAGTTGATCTTCTACCAATAGATCATCTATGTTTTATATACGAAAAGAGTAGCATTTTTTCACCCTCCAAGAACCAATGTTTGTCCCTGTTGGAAGGCCCAGATAGAGCCTGGTGACAGTGACCCTGTGTGACGTCCGAGGCCAGGCCAGGAGGAACCCCGTAGCCCCTTCCTCAGTCTCTAGAAACGCTGGCTCTGGGGGCTTTCCCACTCAGAACCCGGTGGCCACAGGGAGAGGCTACCTGTAGGGTCTCGGGTCAACAGTCAGGACTGAGTTCCTGGTTGGTTCACCCTGGCTCATGTTCCAGACACGTGGGCAAAGAAACTTCCGGATGACAGTGGCACTGAGCCATGTGAGTCACCCCACCAGCATATGTCTTTCCAACTGAGGCCCCAGACATGATGGAGCAGAGACAGGCCGTCCTTGTCTCAACCAGCTGGAACTCCTGACCACAGAATCTGTGACATGACAAAGTAAGGAAAATCTAAGCATGGATAACGGGACCGTTCGGCCTCTATCCGTTCTAGGGTCGGACAAGACAGTAAAGAGGAACATGCTGCCTCTGCCGTGGGCACGGCGGCTGTGGGGAGGGTGCTGGCTGCTGCCAAGGGCCGCTCTGTGACTCAGCCCTGCGGCGGGGACAGCGGGCCCGAGCTCCCACGCGGTAACACGCAGGCTGCTGGGCCTTGAGGTCTCGCCCTTTCCTGACGCGAGACCCAGAACCGCGTGGGCTCAGGTGTCAGCAAGTGGCAGAGCTGTTCCCCACCAGAAGCCACCGCTGTGGCAGAATGCCCCCCCACCCTGCCCCGACACACCCACTTTGGCGAAGCCCTGACCTCTTTCAAAGGAAAACTCGAGCCAAAAACGAACCAGCGCCTTTTCTAACGGGCTCAAGGAGGGGAACAGAGAGACAGCAAAAGGTGGCTGGTGAATTTGCTTCAGAGAGGAAATGCTCCAGGACACAGAGCAAGAGGTCAGATAGGTCCGCTCAGTCTCAGAGAAATGACAGACAATGACCTCACTAAAAAGGAGCTCAGAAAAGAGATATAGTTCCCCAAAAGTGGTTCAAAAAATATGGACACAAAAAAGAGCAGAGCCCAGGAAGAACGTAAGTAGAAGAGAAACCCGCCCCCCCCCAACAAAACCCCAATGTTTTATTGGGAGGAAATATGTATACGTTTGAAAATTAAAATAGAAAAAGACTTGTGTTATTTTTTGATGTGTGAGTGGGAGGAAGATAAACATGAAGGGCCTGGCATTCTGGCTTGTCCTTGCTCTGCTGGGCGTGGGGGAGGGTGGGAGGGTGGAAAGACCAAACTTTAGGTCAAACCAAGAGGGGATGATGGTGGTCTGAGCTGGCAGGGGGATGGACAGCATCACAGGCATGATGGGGACAGATCTGAGCCGCTCCTTTGTCCTGTCTGGATGGAGAAGTCCCGACTGTCCCTGGAGCCCTGCACCTGCAGGACCAGGGTGGCTAAGGGACAAATGGAGGGACAGAAATGAACTGTTCTTGTGACCACCGTCTGAGTCCCCTGTCCTTGGAGGCCACTGCTGTAGATACAGGGACACATGGATATTTACATTGTTTCAAAGCCCCTCCCCACAAAACACTTATAACTTACAGGGGAAAAAGAGTAACTTCATTTAGTTTTGACAAATTTATAGTCAGATATCCATATCCCTAAAGATCTTGATTGCAATGACAGTAACCCAAGTATTCCTGCTTAAAAAGGCTCATTCAACTGTACACCTAGCTTGTGAAGACTTTCTTTTTTAAAAATTTTTTAAATTTTCTTTTTTTTTAAAGATTTTATTTATTTATTTTTCACAGAGAGAGAACATAAGCAGGAGGAGCGGGAGAGAGAGAAGAAAGCTTCACACTGAGTAGGGAGTCCAATGTGGGGCTCGATCTCACGACCTGAGCTGGAGGCAGATGCTTAACGACTGAGCCACCCAGGAACCCCTTGTGAAGACTTTCTAATATGTGAGGTATATATATACCATGATACTCTTTTTTCAAAAAATACAGAAATTAGGGGTACCTGGGTGGCTCAGACAGTTAAGCGTTGGATTCCTCATTTCAGTTCAGGTCATGATCTCAGGGTCATGAGATCGGGACCTGCATCAGGCTCCATGCTGGGCGTGGAGTCTGCTTGCGATTCTCACCCTCCATCTGTCCTTCCCCTCCAGTGGCATGCTCTCTCTCTCTAATAAAAAAAAATTAAAAAATACAAACAGCGAAAATAACTTCCAAACCCAAGTCCTTATGCTTTTCTTTATCCACTCCTGGCCATCAGTGAAATTTCACATCTATATGAGGGGAGCCCTCGTTGGGAACTCTTTGAGGGGATTAAAAGGCAACATCTAGGTCTCTCCCTTCTGTTGTCTTCCACCTCCCAGTTGCCAGACACATTATGATTCTAGCATTCAATTTAGAGTCACTTTGGACCCTCTAGGATGGAAGGGTCGTCCTCTCACATACAAAAGACTGAAATAGTGTCCCAAAGAAATAATCTCAAAGGAGCCCAGGAAAGCCATAGATTTAATAGGAAATGTATTGAGCAAACAGATGGGATGCGGGTCAGAGATGGTCCAACCTTGTCTTCTATCTTACGTTCAGGCGATTCTTACTCCAGGAGGAGGTGGAATCAGCAGACCTCTGTACACCTGGCCCATCGTGGGTCTTTGACCATGTAGAACACTCGGAAGCTTTTTGGTTTAATTCCAGCTTTATAGTTACTGGATGGTCTGGATTTTAAAACCCATCATTGGCAGAGTCTTGAACGCTGTAATAGTCCATTATCCTTGGCAGAACCACTCCAGGATCATAAAGAAAAGAGGCATCAGGAGGATCCACACAGGAGGCTTCTTGGCTGCTACAGTGGAGGCCTTATCTTATAGTTTTGGGTGCAATTGTAAATGGGATCGACTCCTTGATTTGTCTGTCTTCTGTCTTGTTGTTGGTGTATAGGAATGCCACTGATTTCTGTGCATTGATTTTATATCCTGCTACTTGACTGAATTCCTGTATGAGTTCTAGCAGTTGTGGAGTGGAGTCTTTTGGGTTTTCTACATACAGTATCATATCATCTGCAAAGAGTGAGAGTTTGACTTCGTCTTTGCTGATTTGGATGCCTTTGATTTCTTTTTGTTGTCTGATTGCTGTGGCTAGGACTTCTAATACTATGTTGAATAGCAGTGGTGATAGTGACATCCCTGCCGTGTTCCTGACCTTAGGGGAAAAGCTCTCAGCTTTTCCCCATTGAGAATGATATTCGCTGTAGGTTTTTCATAGATGGCTTTTATGATATTGAGGTATGTACCCTCTATCCCTCTACTCTGAAGAGTTTTGATCAAGAAAGGATGCTGTACTTTGTCAAATGCTTTTTCTGCATCTATTGAGAGGATCCTATGATTCTTGTTCTTTCTTTTGTTAATGTATTGTATCACGTTGATTGATTTGCGGATGTTGAACCGGCCTTGCAGCCCAGGGATAAA